CTGAAAACAATACAAAACAAGGAACTCCCTGGAAGCCTCCTATTGCTGTCGAATAGGGCTTGGTCTCCACTTATAAAAATATATACCTACAAAGTTCAGTTTAATCTATTAAAAAACAAAACAAAACCCAAACAAAGTAACCAAAGAAAAAAATACAACAAAACTTGCCATTTTTGTGAATGTCAGTATTTTGCAACAAGAAAATGATGCTTTACCTGGATCAAAAGCATTGAAAGGACGGACCCAATTTAAACTGCTATGAAGAGATAGCATTATGCTTTTCACTAGCATTGTTTATTATCTGCTAGGTTAAATGTTCACATTTAGCACTATTTCTGGAACCTGAACTGCATATTTCACAACACAACAGGCCCAATTCTGCTCTCAGATAGGCATGCATAACTCTCATTGAATTCCTTGAAACTGAGAGCAGATTTGAATAACCAGTCTGCAGCAAGCTAAACCACCATATCTGCTTCAGGGAAAAAACAGATTAAAAATTAATTGACCCCAAATGAATTTTGTGCAATAAATTTAAGACACAGATTTTTATGCACAAGTCCCAGCCAGTGAGAATGAAAAAGGGTAATATTTCACAAGCTGTAACAGGAACATATACACTATAGCATGCTTAGTAAATAGAGAGCTTAATTTGGGAAGAAGGCCATCCTTCCATCGTCTTTCTAAACCCCCCAAAAATTTGAAGGTAAAGCCTCACTGTTCAGAAAATGATTATTACTCACGCAATATGTTGAGGCCCCAGTTCAATCCACAATGGCAAAGCCATTAAATTGAAGGTTGAAACTTAAGTTGATCCCTTTGGATACACACTGAAAATATACTGTAAGGAAAGGCATTGTGGAATTCCATGTTTATTGTCCATCACAGATTCTGTGCTCAGTATACAATTAAAAAAAAAAAAAGTTTTTCTAATTGTCAGCCTTGAAAACTCAACCTGGGTTCTAGATTTCTCATGCCATTATCACTAATAAGGATTTGCAGGCCAAATTAGACCTTTTGTTACACTTGTCAATCCTCATAGTCTTCAAATTATGCCCCGCATGACACCTGGGTAAACCCGTTGCTCTTTGTAGGTTTCCAAAGCTGTAACTGACTGGGATTTAATAAACAGTTCTGTTGATGATGCACAAGACTAGACTAGACTCCAGATTTTTAGGGCCCGGATTCACAAAGGGACTTAGGCATTATAACACGAAACTTTTAGGCACATAGAAAAATCACAGGAACACCACTGTGATCCACACAGACGAGTCAGGCGCCCAGGCTCCCTATACAATGAATGGAGAGAGACGAGCACCTTAGGATGCAACCAAAAGTCAGCACACAAGGCAGGTAGCCGCCTAAGCTAGTCAATGGGAGATGCTGACAGCCAGGGTGCTGCGAAGTCAAGCCCCTCTCTCAGAGACTAGATCTTAGAGGCAGGGTGCAGGGAGGCGCCTATCTCTGGTTAGCGTTCTACAAACAGGGACCTGCCGCCTGCAGGCTTATGTGCAGAACATAGGCACCAACTCCATGGGTGCTCCGGGGGTGGAGCACCCTCGGGGAAAAATGGGTGGGTGCTCAGCACCTACCGGCAGCTCCCCGCCCAGCTCACCTCCGCTCCACCTCCTCCCCGGAGCGTGCCGTATACCCACTTTTTCCACTTAGCTCCCAGCGCTTGCGCCACGAAACAGCTGTTTCGCATGGCTGGGAGGAAGGGGGGGAGGAGGGAGAACACGGCGCGCTCAGGCAAGAGGCGGGGCCGGAGCGGGGATTTGGGGAAGGGGTCCAATAGGGGCAGGGAGGGGGTGGAGTTGGGGAGGGGACTTTGGGGAAGGAGTTGGAATGGGGGTGGGGCAGGGGCAGGGAAACGGTGGAGTTGGGGCAGGGCCGGCGGTGGGGGGTGCGAGCACCCACCAGTGCCGGAAAAAGTTGGCGCCTATGGTGCCGAAGACATTTCTTTCAGGATGGAATGAGTTAGATGCCTGCGTCCCTCCACACAAAATGGCAGAGGAGGGGGGTGCCCACCTTATAACTTTTAGAGACTCAGTTCCCCTCTTTGCTGATGGGCGAGAAAGAATTTGAACAGGGGTCTCCCACCCCTCTCAGAAGCAGGGCTCTAACCACTGGGTGATGGGATATTCTGATGTGGGCTTCTCTCCGTGTCTCCTGTTGAAGCTGTTCCACTGTGGATAAATAATGAAAGAATGATTGGGGCAGGGGATCCTGGGTCTCCCACCTCCCAGGTGGGTGCCATAACCACTGGGCTACAGAGTCATTCCCTCTTTAGCTCTCTTTGACCCAGTGACTGTGGATAAAAACAGTCATTGGGCCAAAAAGAGATGTCACCCACATCCCAGGAAATGTTCTAACCACTGGACTACAAGTTTTAAGGTGAGCACCACCACTTCCTCCTCCAGCCAGATTCTGAATGGGACCCAATCCAGTAGGCAGCCTTTGAGCATGTCTACCCCCATTCATGAATTGCTCTGGGGCTTAGGCAGCAGATAGGCACCCGGTTGCCTAGAGCAAGGCAGCAGTGCTCATGCCCAAATGCAGGAACATAGGCATTGAGTGAACTTTTATTTCCCCTAAAATGTAAGCACTGAGTGAGTTTAAATACCTAGAGATGGCAAAGTTTGCACATGATACAAAATTACTCAAGACAGTTAACTCCAAAGCTGACTGAAGAGTTACAAAGGGATCTCACTAAACTATGTGATTGGTGACAAAACGGCAGATGAAATTCACTGTTGATAAATGCAAAGTAATGTACACTGGAAAAAAAATTCCCAACTATACACACACACAATTATTGGGTCTTCATTAGCTGTTACCACTCAAGAAAGAGCTCTTGGAGTCTTCGTGGTTAGTTCCTTGAAAACATCCACTCAATGTGCAGGGGCACTCAAAAAAGCTAACAGAATGTTAGGAACCATTAGGAAAAGGATAGATAATAAGACAGAAAATATCATAAGGCCAGTATATAAATCCATGGGATCCCCATGCCTTGAATACTATGTGCAGTTCTGGTTGCCCCATCTCAAAAAATATATATATATTAGAATTGGAAAATTTATAGAGAAGGGCAACAAATGATTGGGGGAGGGAACAGCTTTTACATAAAAAGAGATTAACAGGATTGGAACTGTTCATCATAGAAAAAGAGATGACTGAGGGATAAAATCATGAATGGTGTGGAGAAAGTGAATAGGGAAACATTATTTTATCCCTTCACATAACACAAGAACTAGGGGTCACCTGACAAAATTAACAGGCAGTAGGTTTAAAACAAACATAAGGAGGTACTTCTTCACACAATACAGTGTCAACCCATGGAACCTGTTACCATGGAGATGATGTGAAGGCCAAAAGTATACCTGGGTTCAAAAGAGAGTTAGATAAATTCATGGAGGATAGGTCCATCAATGACTATTAGCCAAAATGGTCGGGCATGCAATCTCATGTTCTGGGTGTCCCTAAATCTCCAACTGCCAAAAGCATCTGGCATTGGTCACTGTGAGAAGATAGGTTACTGGGCTAGATGGACCACTGATCTGACCCAGTATGACCATTCTTATGTTCTTAATTTTACACATTCATGGTTGCAGGCTGGATTAAGGCTATCTGAAAATTTGGCTTCAACTACAGTTTAACTTTAGGACCTGCAGTATGTAATTACAATTAAATATTGCTAACTAAATGCAATTAGAAGCTATATCTTCAAGTTCCAATGTGAAAATAAGTAAACTGCAGAGAGAAAATGCCACAGTGGCAAGTACTATTAACATGCATGTGAAGAGACGCATTGCAGAACTCAAAGTGAGAAACTGAAATGTGATTATATATTATATAAAAAAAACCACTCCTTTCCTGCACCTGCATGCAGTGCTAATGCCTCCCCCACACTGTGCTGCTTAAATGTGCTCAGAGCTAGAGCAGAGGGAGAAATAGGAAACTACATGCTGAGATAATAAAAGAGGAATGGGGGGAAATGGATACTCAGTAAAGATAGATTGGTAGTGACAGAGCAGGGAAGGGTACTAAGAGATTGAACAGAAGATCAAGGACAAGGAGTATGAAAAAACAACAAGGTGAAAGCATGGTGACAGGAACTTTAATAAAGAAATTGTGATTAAGTTTCTTCGTCCTATTTTGGGATAGGACAGGAAGAAAATTTCAGCATTACAAATATCACCGTTCCCTTTGGAAGCAATACAGTAAGAGTCTGTCAACCACCCTTCACACAGTCTGAAGCATGCATCAAATCTGTGTGCATAATTTCATGAGTCATATTTGTCACCTATTCGATATTACCATAGTTTGTTTGCATACATTGTCTTCAGCTCTAGTAACTGCCTTAGGATGCCTGGCCTCTTCAGAAAAAAAGGAGTCCAGACCCCAAAATTGTTCACACACATTTTGCATGTGTAGCTGTTACTATAGTTATGAAGAAACTATTTAAAATTCTGGGCCTAAAGGGTTTTGTGAACTTATTTAATTAATAAATAATCGTTTTTCAAAGTGTTGCAGACACTTCCAGCCCTGAACATAATCCTCTGGATGGAACCTGCTGTCTCTGTAAGGAAGCTGAGTTAATGGGAAATTTGTTTGCAATGAGTTTACATAGAGTGGGAGTTGCAAGACTAAATCCTTCCCCTGTGACACACAAGTTTACTTTAAACGTTGTTAAACAGTAAAGTAATTCTGCATTTCATACTCCTCCCCTAGCCCCAAATCCATGCAGCTAAATCATGATAACTCAATTTCTATTGTATTTATAACTCTTAAGGTTTGCTAGCAAACAACTAGGGAAATCAACTTCTTTAATAACATAATTAATATTAAAGTTATACTTCTATAAGTACAGTATTCATCAGCTATAAGTTTAGATGGTTCATTCAGAACACCATTCTAACACCATATCCCTGTCCATACATGGTCATCCAAACATCTACGATGCTTTTTCTAGATAATGACACTTTCTTTTCATGACTTACCTATGTTTTTCTAGTTCGTTGTGTGATGACCTATTAAAAATAGAAAAAAAAATTTTTAGAATGATGAGTACTGGATTTTAGAATAGCTAAAAATGTCACCTATATGGCTTTCAAAAAAAGATGTTAAAAGCCTGCAATTTAAAACAGATTATAAACAAAACTAAAGCCTAGACTTCACATGGATTTTAATGCAATATATGTTTTAAATTGGTTGCTTTTAACATAGCTTTTGAAAGTCTTCAAGGTGTCAACATCTTTTAGTTGTTTCCCTAGAATATCTAACTACAGCATTTGCATGGGTAAATCTTTTTGCACAGACAGACTACAATTTGTACAGAAAAGTTTATTAAAGGGTCTTCAGGCACTAAGCACAAATCTGCCTCTTAATTTGACCCAAGTGGTAAGAGAAACAAACCACACAACATTTTCAGCCATGGAGAAAAGGAAAAAAAGATCAAACAAACAAAAAACAGTTGCAAGATCCAGTTGGTAAAAGATAAGAACTGTAAGAACGGGAGGGAGGAAATCCCAAAAGAAGAGATTCAAAACTTAGTTTCTGGGAGACTCTGAGGGAAGCAGGGAAAAAAAAAAAAGATTGATCACCATTTAACAGCTGCAGTAATTGTGAATATCAGTCTTAATGCAGAAAAGATGCATCTTTTCTTTTACTAAACCTATGTACAGATCAGAAACCTAGAACGTTAAAGAAAATAAAAATAAAAACTTCCAAGAAATTAGGACTATGTTCCTATTGTAGAAAAATTGAACCTACCATTGAAAACTGTTAAAAACAAACAAAACAGATTCAGACAGAAACAATAATTATATTTATACAACTGAAATTAAAAACATTTCTCAGATGAAATTATTGTCACTGTTACAAAACCAGTCATTTCCTGGACCAGTAGTTCTAGTTCTCTCAGAATGGAAACAGATTTTTATTATTCCAGTATGTGAAGATCATGAATATGAAGGCAGCAGCAGCTTTTATGGCGTAACACATTACAGCATCAAGATCCATGCAAGCAGATTTTGTGAATCAGTTTTCCAACAGTACGTTAGAAACCCAACCAGCTTCTGTGCACTATGTGCTGACAGAGGTTGCTTTGTTCATGCCTTAGGTGTAAAGAGCACAGTCCATTCTAAGACATGTGTAGTTACCAGGTGCAGCACAGGGCCATCGATCGTTCCCTACAGAAGCATGTAGCTGGCTCTTAAGCAAACCGCCCACATAGATGTTGCAGCATATTTGAAATTTCTTATTGATGTGAACACTGCAACCAATGTACCCATCTGGCTGCACAGGGAAAACAAAGCGATGATCACGTATAATCACTAGGGCCCTACCAAATTCATGGCCATGAAAAACGTGTCACAGACCGTGAAATCTGGTCTCCCCCCATGAAATCTAGTTTTTTGTATGCTTTTACCCTGTATTATACAGATTTCACAGGGGAGACCACTGTTTCTCAAATTGGGGCTACTCACCCAAAAGGGAATTGCGGGGGTGGGGAGCGTCGCAGTATTGCCATCCTTAATCTGCACTGCCTTTAGAGCTGGGTGGCTGGAAAGTGGCGGCTGTTGGCCGGGCACCCAGCTCTGAAGGCGGCTCCCCGCCAGCAGCAGTCCAGAAGTAAGGGTGATAATACCATATCATGCCACACTTAGCTCTGAAGGCAGCAGCGCAGAAGTGAGTGGCCAGAGAGTGGTGGCTGCTGACTGAGGGCCCAGCTCTGCATGCAGCAGCGCAGAAGAAAGGGTGGCAATACCATCCCATCCCATCCTTACTTCTGTGCTGCTGCTGACCACGGTTCTGCCTTCAGAGCTGGGCTCCAAGACATCAGCCGCTGCTTTCCAGCTGCCCAGCTCTGAAGGCAGCGCCGCCGCCAGCAATAGCGCAGAAGTAAGGGTAGTAATACTGCAACTCCCCCTACAATAGCCTTGCGACCCCCTCCCCCACAACTCCTTTTTGGGTCAGGACCCCTACAATTACAACACCGCGAAATTTCAGATTTAAGTAGCTGAAATCATAGATTTTTAAAAATCCTATAACCATGACATTGACCAAAAGGGACCATGAATTTGGTAGTGTCCCAGTAATCACTGATGATCAGACCCTAAAATGTTTTTTTCCTGGTCCAAGTCTACCCACTATGGCCCTGATCCTGCAAATATTTAGGCACTGACTTAAATGGGACTACTCACGTAAGGGTCGGAACACGTGTAAACTTTTGAAGGATCAGGGTCTCTGAGCCCAATCCAGGCTTCCGTGGAAACCTCCCCATTGATTTTAGTGAGAGTTGAACAGGTCATGTATGAGTTGGTATCTTGTTTAAAAAACATTTTTTCTTTATATTTTAAATCTTAAACTAAATGCACCATATCATAAATAGAGCAACACAATGGGAATACATATACACATTATTTCCTGCTCAAAATTATCATGTGAAAACCATTTAAACATAATCAGAGCAACAGTGGTAGGCCAAAAATGTGATCTGCCTTTTTATCAGTTTATCACATAAGATTATATAGTTGTGTTACATACACAGACCCCCAAAACAAAGATAGAATTCCTTTATTCTCTAAGCTTGTTCAAGTTCTAGCTGCTGGTTTCTCACTGCAAGCATTTTCGCTGAGTCTGCTTCCTTATCACTGGCAATTAACAGATTTTTCAGTTCCTGCTTTGGGGCCTTTTTCCGTAAAAGACAACCCCCATCCCCACCCCGCCCTGTGAGCACAATTCTTCCAGGCTTTTTCTGTCAGGATCTTGATCACAGCTCGCTCACTGTAACTGATTTTTAACCCTTAAACTCTCCAATATCAAAATTAAATTTTTGACAAGCATGTGGGTTCTGATCCAATAACCCAATTAACCTGTGGTAATGTGTATCCAAGCACGACTATGCCACTGTGACCGGGGTCCTAGTGGGGAGCCAGCTGTGGTCACTCAATTAGGGTGAACTGCAAAGAATGGGGCAGCCAAACTCCAAAAAGCTGGTGGATATTCCAATATTTAGATATACCCAGTGAGCATAAAACAGCTTCTTTATCACCTTACTGGTTACTCAGAAATCCAACCAACACAGTTCCCTTAAAGTGATCCAGCCTAAGGCCTCCATCCAGGTACCCAAGTTAAATATGATGATTTCTGAAAATCTTATCACATCATATAAAAGAAAAGGTTCTACCAATCCCAAAGGATCGAACACATTATCTCCCAGGTTATTGAATATTTCAGATCTTACCCAAATACATACTACAGCCAATTCTGATTAACTAAACTAAAATATATTAAAAAACAAAAGAGAGTATGGTTAAAAGATCAATATATATACAGACATGAGTTCAATTCATTGAGGTTCAGATTCATAGCATAGATGGCGAGCATTGTAGCTGCAAAGAGTTCTTTCAGAAACAGTTCATAGGTTATAGTCCAATATCCAAATATAATATTCAGGGTGTACCAGCATAACCGAGACCTCAGTCCTGAGACTCAAACTTCCCCTGATGAAGCCTACGCAGATCTGAGAGAACAGAATCAGGACCCAAGGATCTTTAATACAATTTCATGTCTTTTGACAAATTGGAGTTCAAAAGATAATTAGCATGACTTTGAAGGAGGTCCATCACTGGTACTTAGCATAAGGCAATTTGCTTGTTTCTCCACCGTTCACAGTACATGTCAAAGAGAGATGAATGCCGAGATATCCAGTGTTTACAATACATTTACATGCTAGGATGTTCTTTTGCCCTCTGAATTATCAGAATACAGCATAGACAGGGACTGTTGATTACATTGTGGACCCTACATATGTAAATACACAAAAACACAAACATTATTTCTCCACATATCTTTTGAGAGTTATTTATTTTGCAGGATGTTTAACCCTTTCAAGCCATGCGTCACACCCCCAACGTGAGACTGGGGTGGAAGGGAGCAAATAGAGCTTCTGGATACACCTTAAAGACCTGTAGCACCCCCTGGCTTGAAGTAATAACAACAACCAAATACCTGGTTTCTACTTTCAGCACCCCTACTATAAAAATTGTTATAGCACCCCTGCTAGTGGTTTAGGCATTGAAGAAATCTGAGATCTGACACACAACCTGCCAGTTTCCCAGCTGTAAAATGGGAGTTATTAATAGTTCTGTAATACCTACCTCCCCACACAACGAGGGCTCATCAGGAAAGGCTGTACAGTTCTTTGAGAGGATAAAGCTCTCTATAAGTAATTACTATTTTTCACTCCTTCAGTTCTGAGAAGCACAGAGCACTGCCCCAGGGAGAACCAATATTTCTGCCACTCCTCAGCCTGTATCCTCTGCTTTCCACAGATCCCAGAGGGCAGACGGGAAGAAATTTAAGGGCAGATTTACACACATACTTGCACCAAAATAACTACAGTGATTTTAATCCGTATCTTTTGTTATTTCAGCACAAAACTGTGTGTGGACCAGCCATAAGCAGAGGAGGAATAGAAGGGACTGGGTAGGGGAATGTTTGCCACAAACATTTCCTAAGGAGAAAGAAGAGAGTCCAGATACACAGAAACTCTGGCTACTTTGTGCCACTAGCTGCAAAGCAGCTGTTGCAAATAGTAATGGCTACTATCTAGATGTGACAGCATTAGCATTCATTATCTAGTACCAAGTAGTTAAATGGTGATTAACCAGGTGTGAAATTCTACGCTCTGATTCTTTTAAAATGCAAATTATCAAATAAGGATTATGGGGCATGTTTTCTTCTATAGTTGGAGTCAGGGATGGCAGCACCTAAAGAGTCTCTAGCCAAGTAATTCTAGATTATGGCATTTATATGCTCTGATTGCAATATTTCACAAACCAGCAGAGTTTCATAATAGTGAAGACAAAAACTCTTTCCCCTCCACATCTTTATTCCAGTTTTTTTTTAAAGTACCCCTAGGAAGTTATCTTTCAGATATCATGTTAGTGCAATGTTAAGACTACAGGTTAAAATGCTCAGATGTAAAGAAATATCAAAATTAAGGTTAAAAGGCTAGGGCTCT